GTGCATATATTGTCCGCTTTGGGCTTCGCCCTCACGGTTTTGTTCTCCCCCAATCGAACATGGCCTAAGAGCCAACTTTAAAGAGCCTAAGGGCCGATATATAAGAGCCCAATGGCCAACTTCGAAAGGCATAAGGACCAAAAACTTATAGTTTGAGACTTCGCTCTCATTTCGATCCAGACACAAGATTCACGATACCTCGAGCTTACATCGATCAATTTAAACTTTGCTCGAGGATTATTATATCTGTCAATAAATATTTAAGGGTTTATTATATCCCGAACCCAAACCAATTCTCGGACCAATCATTCAAACGAAGTTTCCATAAATAAAGACAATATTAAATCCAGCACAAACCAATGATGAGATAAAAGGTTCCCCTTGTATTTCCAAAAGATGATTAATAGGAGATATTTACATAAGGGAGACTTGAACAGAAACAAAATAAGGAAACCCAAAACTACTTCGGGGTCATATTTTCAGCAGTTTCATCTTTAGGAGCCGCATCTTCGAGAGCCTCACCCTCGGGGACTTCATCTTCGTCTCCTCCACTCTTAGAGCCACTGGCTGAATCATCCTCATCAGAAAGCTGAGTGGCAGCCTCTTCTTCCAAAATCTTCGTCCTTTCAATATCGGCTGAGAGATCAAAGCCGCGAGCATGTACCTCCTCTAGAGTTACCCTCCGGGATTGTCGCCTATCATGGTCAAGTGCACTTGATAGATAGCTTGACTTCTGCCGCAGAAGAGATCTCATTTTCCCGAGCATTAGCGGCTTCACCATTAGCTCGGTACGAAGACATAATTGCCTCAGTGTCAGATTTGGCTTTGGCCGGCTCAGCAGCAGATCTAGCTTTAAGCTCCTCGATTCTACAGCCTCAAGCTAGGATCTCATTCTTCACATTTTGAAGCTGGTGTTCGAGTGAAGCCAGCTACTCTCGAAGAGTTTCCTTCTCAGAGACAAGATTGTCCATGCCTTGTCTCCACCCCAAGGTCTCGGCCTCCTTCATCTTAGGATCCTCCAGAAGCTGCAACACCGATTCGCCCTTCTGATGAAACTACAAAATTAAAAGTATTAGTTATCAAAAAAACAAGTACATAACAGACCCTCAACGACTATATTACCTTTTTAATAAACTTAGATCGTTCTTGGCAAGCTTTCGTCAATTCAACTCGTAGATCGATGATCTCCCCCTCTTTCTTGACATAGAGGATTTTAAGACTGTCCCTCTCTTTCGAGACTTTCTTAAGCTCGGTTTCACATCGGAAAATCTCAGTTCGAGATTTGGCGAATGTTCGTCGGTGAAGCGACACGGCCTTCTTACAAGAAAAGGAGGTCAGAATCAGAAAGATAGAGATTAAACTCAAAATAATGAAAGACAAAATATACTTGTTTGAGGAGCTTCTCAGCTTCGTCAAAAATAAACGAGGCATCAAGATCGGGACATTCTTCAATTCCCGTGAGACACTCCCGAAAAATATCGTTCTCTTCATGAGTCGCTGCCATATCAGGAGTCTCTATGTCCTGGGCATCTCGGAGTTGCCCTTCAGAAAACACCGGGCCCTACGACGAGTCATCTATGTTAATTACCCCAAGTGAATCACTAAGGGTGTTATCCTATCTTTGAAATGCCTCGGAGTTAGGCTCTTCGAGATCATTCACCAAACGTCCCCCAGGAAAAGGTACACCTTTTCTGCCTGATGGTTTGGGGACCTTGCTCGAGCGCCCCTCTAAAATTTCTTCGGTTCGAGATTGAACTGCCTCCGTCACTGTCGGTTCATCGGTCTTCGGAGCGTCAGAGCTTCCTCTTTGCCGAGCTACTAGGAGGCAGTCATCATCCTCTTCCTCTTCCTCTTCCTCTTCCTCTTCCTCTTCCTTTTCCTCTTTTTCCCGAAGGCGTTGAGCCATTTCTGGAGATAGGGCCACGGTGTTAGCCTTGGGATTTCGAGCTTTGCTTTTCTTTCGCCTCGGGGTATTTGTAGACGACCCCTATTTCTTTTCTTTTGTTTGGGAGTCTTTGAGATCTCTTCTTCACACGGCGGAGGCAGACGCATTTCAATAGCTTCCCCGAGACCTGCATAAAAGATGAAGTAAGTATTGCATTAAGGAACACAAGTAAATAAACAAGAAAACTCACCATGGTATTTCGCCTCCCATCGGCCTTGGCTATATCATGCCAGCAACGCTTCATATATGAAGAAGTAGAGGCCAGTTGGTGGACCCAACCCTCGAGGTCCTCGACCGCTCCAGGAAACCAAGCGACAACTGCACCATCGGAAAAGGATTATGTTGATAAAAAGACAAAACCAGGAAAGAAAAAGGGAAGCAAGGTATAACTAATTGCTAAATTAAGTTTTAGTAATTAACTAACATTACTTAAATATTTGCTTCCACGATTTCGTACAAGTGTTTTGTGAATAGGCCTAATATTTAGGACTACTTATTCTTTTCCTATATATAAAAAGGAACCCTTCGAAGCATAAAAAAAGGTAAGGTGGTGTTCATCAGTTTGCTTTTTAACCATTTCTATTTCTTCTAATTTTTTAAATACAAATAAATTTGACAAATTTTATATAACTTCTTAATAATCGTGTCGTTTTGCAAGTGGTGGTAATAACTAAATTTAGAAAGATTGTTGCAAGAAGATTAAAATGTGATCTCTATTCTTCTTTATATTCAGTTAGTGATATTAAGGATATTATAACTGATACATAAGATCTTGAATTGGATATTGTATACGGTCGAGATCGAATGCCTTCGATCTATATACTTGAGAGGTCGTCCGAAGTTCGAGTCTGGGTAAGACCAAGTTCGAGCTCGAGGGACCAGATTCGAGTTCGAAGGCGGAGCATGATGCATACCGAGGTCGAGTGTGCTCGACCTCGAAATAATACCGTAATGTATTTGTACTAGATTAAGTTAGATTCCTTCCATGTCTCTAAATTCATGGCGCAAATCCCGAAATATGATTGTATGATTCCGTACCAGGCGGTTAGACAACTGTACCAAGAATATTCCTTACTGTAAATAGAAATATTTCTTATTTAGGGCTCCCCTATTATATAAAGGGGACCCCAATCATTTGTAAGACATCTTAGAATTACTGAGAAAAGAATATACTCTCTTCCTTTTTGCCTACTGTTCATCAGCATTATCCTTTAGCTCCATTGTTCTTACTTTATTTTTATTATTTAATTGTTCTTACTGCCCTAAGCCACCTCGAGGTCACTACTGCTAAGTAACATTGGTTTGATACGCTTCTATCTTTCATTTCTACTTCATATTTCTTGATTATTAATTGGTATTAAACTAAATCACATATCTTTAAAATCACTAATCAAATTCAATTGTTACTCGTATGTTCGAGGTAAACAGTTTGGCGCCCACCGTGGGGCTAAAGATAATAGTGATTATTTCTTTACTGGTTTTCATTACACACATTGCTTTTACACTTTTTCTTATCAAAAATTCTTTGATTCTCAGGCTAAAACATGTCTAGCTCACAAAAA